CATGTGAGGATGCAGAGAAGCTGAAGTGGTTCAGCAAATTGAACATAGAGTTCCAAAACTATGTGATGTCATTAAATGCTGTGTATCCTTCTTCATTTATGAAATCATTTCCACGTATGAGTAATGAGCGTATCGATAATAAGTCAAAGCCTGATGTCTCTTCATCAAAGGTTCGGAATTTTCTGAGGAAACTTTCCAAGAAAACTTCTAAGAGTGGCGTAGAAAATAAGCCAAACTTGCTCTTAAACTCAAGCCGTGATGTTCCAACTGAAAAATCTATTGATTGTTCGACCGAGGAAGCAACAGCCTCTTCATCTCTAGGAACTTTAACTGGGTCAGGGGGCAGAAATCACTTGGCTGTAATTTCTAATGCAGATTCTTCAGATGATAGAGCTTCAAGTGGTGGAACTGCGTGTTGGAACTTGTTAATATCTAGGCTATTCTTTGATGCTAAACAGAATGCAGAGATAAGAACTTCCTTACAAGCTCGGATTCAGGTACGCTAGGATTTAACTCTGCTAGAGGTTGTCGTTGATATACACTTGTACATCTCAATCAAAGAATATTCTTCCACAACAACATCCAAGCTTTAGTCCCATAAGAGTTTGGGGTCGACTAACATGAATTGATATATGAAACCGGAATTAAAAAAGATTAAAAGAGATTAATCCTTCACACGTATACCCTCCTTCCACTTTGCTCCCTCCAAAGTCACACTCTCATCCAACCCAAGAAGTACCATATCATTCCTGACCACTCAGATCAACTTTTGCTTGGGTCGTCCTCAGCCTCTCCTCCCCGTTTCTTCTCCCACCTCTCAATTCGTCTAAAAGTGCATCACTCGGTCTTCTACACACATTATCAAGTCACCGTAATCGAGTCTCTTATCTTCAATAGATGCTTCTCCCATCTTTTGCGTGATTGTCTCATTCATCGAGCACTCTTTTCTAATATGTCCACACATCCAGCGCAACATGTGCATCTCAACCACACTCATATTTTGAATGTGACATTGGTTCACCGCCCAAAACTCTACTGCATACGATAATGCAGGCCTGATTGTTCTCCAATAAAACTTACAATAATCAAAGAATATTCTTCCAGTTAAATGAAATTAGGTATGAATACTATCTGCCTATCAAATATGGAGTATAAAAAAGGAAACATAAATTCTTACAATCTTACCCCTCTAGTCATGTTGAGATTGGTATAATTCCGGTGCCATATTTTACGCTAAAACTTATTGGTTGCCTAATAAACTCAGTTCAATTGGAGCAGTGTATATACTTCATTCCTTTGTTTCTAAAAATTTTAAGTTTCCAAAGTTTTCTCCTATCCCAGTAATGAAGAGAGTAATTATGATTAAATTTCATACAGCTTAAGAAGTTTTATTTCACTAAAGAAAACCAGAGGTTACGTTCTGTGTCCTTCAATCTTTTCAAGGACTTCACATGATGTGGGAGCCTTGTAGTATGGTCTGCCTCTTTTATCTGAAGGTTCCTAATGGCTAATGCTTAATTGTTACATTTCTTTTAAGCTTTAGAGCCTGTTTGGGGTAAAATGCGGCATTCATGCTTTAATCATAAGTGCTATCTAATTTAAGAACTTAAAGTGCTTCTTTGAAAACACCTTAAACTAAGAGCACCTTTTCGGCTTTTCTATTTTCCTGCCAAACACACTTACATTGTGGCTTGTTGTATGGCATGTTGCAGAGTTGCGTATTCATGAATAAACTTCTAGTTGAGTTTTTTTGCATTTTGTTTTTGTTTGACAAAATGAAACTAACTATCACAACACCCTAATGTGCTCTTTTTATTAGAGAACACTATCAAACATGCGAAACCCCGCATACATTGGCGAAGTAATATGCACTGCTGTTGATCTTGGTAATCTACCACCATATTTTCATGCAATGAGGGCTCTTCCTTCCAACACGAATGAAGATTGGGTGATGGAAATTGACATTGAGTATTCTGGTGGTGCAATATTTGAAATTGAAACAAGGCTTGAAGTTCAAAATCTTGAATTAGAGGAAGGAGGGCCAGGCCTAGAATCAAGTTCTGTGGATGAGGTAAAAGCTGATTTGTTAGAGGGAATTGAACAGTACAGAGAAAACTTGAAATATTCTGAGGAGACAGCTGATGATGATGATCATAGAGATGAAGGAGATCTTAGAGGAGGTAGGTGCATTGGTATTTTTCTCTTCTTTCAAATGGATCACACTCACTTTTTAAAAAGAAAAAAGGCAATTCACTCCATTTCCCATCCCTAAAAAAGTTGCATTAACTTGGTCGTGATTTTTCTGCTAAATTGTGTTTCTATAGAGGTTATTTCTCACTCATCAGTTAATTGAGGTCCATCTATCGTGTACTTTTTCAGATTCTATACAACACTCCAGAAACACGACAGGTGCAGCATCTCAAAATTCTAGATGGAAGTCTATTGTGCAATCAATTGCCAAACAGGTCTCACAGGTTGTCAAGAGGATTTTTAATTTAGTTCATCATTACTTTTAAAAAATTTCAGGTTATATTACCAATCCTAAGAACAGCGCTCTGTATTTATTGTTATACTTCAATGGTTCCAATAATCTTTGAGACAGACTACTTCGAATTTTAAATAATCCAGCTGCATTGTTGTTTAATGTCTAACAGCTGAATGTTTAATTCTGAAGGTTCCACTTTCATTGGGGATAAGGGTTGCATCAATCCGAGGATTGTTGCGCATATTCATAAAGCCACCACCTTCAGATCAAATGTGGTTTGGCTTCACTTCTATGCCAGACCTTGATTTTCAGATGGAGCCTTTTATTGGAGAGCATAGAATTGCAAGTGGACGTCTAGCCTTATTCCTAATCAGTCGGTTTAAGGTACTCACGTCTTGTCTAATAATCGATTTGTCCAATTTTATCTTTTAATCTATTCCAAAATATTGTCCACCTCTCTAATATAGAGAGAAATGGACAATTTTATCTTTTAATCTCCCTTTCACTCTGTTCCACCTCTCTAATTTAACCTCCAGCTAACTATTCATTTTCCCACCTACCCTTTTTGCCTTTCGTTTTTTAAGAATTATTTGACTGAAAATTAAATCACTCTTCCAAGGTTATAAGTGTTTTGGTGAATGATGTATTTTGGTGAATGATATATATATATATATATATATATATATATATATATATATATATATATATATATATATATATATATATATATATATATATATATATATATATATATATATGATGTAGGTAGCCATTCGTGACACATTGGTTCTTCCCAACTGTGAAAGTTTATGCCTGCCATGGATGTTAGCTGAAAAGGCGGACTGGGTCCCGCGTAAGTTAGCTCCATTCATATGGATTAGTCAAGAACCACGAAGCACTGATAATGCAGATGAAGCTACTCCCGAAACAGCAAGCAGAAGTCTAGAAGGAACCCGTGAAGGACCACCTGGAAACGCCATGTCATCTTCGGAAAAACCAAATGATTCTCTGGACACACAGTCTTCATCATCATCAACTCCTCTTATGATTGGAAATCCAGATAAAGAATTGCGGGTCCCACTACTGAGTTGTGAAGAACAGGTAGCAAGTCATCACAGCAAGAGCACAGAGGAGGAGGTAGGACAGAACTATGTATGTGAAGAGGACGAGAAGAAGATGAGAAAACTGGGTAGTACAAAAGCAAGGATGATTGGTTTGAGCAAGAAGATGTCGGAGAAAATTGATGAGAAGAGGCGACATATTGAAGAGAAGGGAAGAAACATTGTTGAAAGGATGAGAGGAGGGCAACAACAGTGATGACCATGAAAATCTGAGCCCCCCCCCCCCCCCCCCCCCCCCCACTCCCTTAGTATATCTCATCACTTGTAAATGGAATTACTACAAGCTGGCCTGCACATCTCATATTCCATTCATTTTACTGATTAGTGTATTGTGTAAAACTGTAAATCTGATTGGAGAAGTTGGTCCATGCTCCATTTGATTTGTACGGCATTGTCTTACATATAATGATTTCCCACACACATACATAAACGATAAGGTATATACCGAATTTTTGGCTTGCTGAACATTAACATATTTATTAATTCAAGTCTAGTAAAACTCATACTAGCAATACATTTTTCGGGAAAAGTTGAAAGAGATTATTGTGACAACAAAATACTCAACCAACTATCACCCTATTTAAAAAATAAAAAAGCTCTGAATATTATGACACAGATGAAGTCATGAAGACACCGAGTCTGAATAATGACATTGAAGTGAAATATTTTGTGCCAGTACAATGCACGAGGCACGCGGGACAATTTTGGAAGACAGTTTTGATTCAAAGTTGATACTTATCCTTCTTACACTCTCTTCCACCAGCTAAGCAACGCCTCGACTTGAGAGCGAGAAACAGAAAAACGCTTGGAAAAACGCTTGGTACGTACATTAGAATTTTAATTCAGCCCATGTATTTTAGCTTAAACTAATGCTCAGTTGCTCACTATTCTTTCAAACAAAACTACTCCTATCATAATTGACCGAATTGTTGAAATTTCAGTCCTTTTGGGTCGAATTGTTCGTGTCAAACATAACCTAGGGGCCAATTGATAAAATAAAAAATGACTGAATTTATTGAAACTACTCAACCGTGGCTAAATGTGTAGAACTATAAAAAGCATATAGTTAAACAAATTATATTGATAGATGAAAGAAAAATATATATGAAATATCATTTCAACGATATTATACAAAAGTACACACAATCTTATGTAGTTTTATTTGCACATGCATTGGCATGAGTAAAAATTAATGTTTTCTCTTATTCGGTGATAAACAAAAAATGAATCTCGTAGTAAAAGATTGCTTGGTTTTTTCCGCGCAGAGTAAAAGAATGCTTGGTAGTATATATATTTTAAGGCAAATTAGCATATAAAGAACTATTTATATTACCCACTCTTTTGACTACCAAGCTACATCTAAAGTTTTTTAATTTGTGAATAGAGTAACAAAATTTACTCGCAAAATTCACTAATATTAATTATACTAGATACATAGAGTTAAGGTAACAACACAATTTACTCGCAAAATAGAAAGGTAAAACTGACAAAAAGATGACAACCCGTTTACAATTTTTTGGACACTATATTAATTACTAATATTGGTCACACAAGCAAACCTATTGGAGCCTTTTGGTTCTTGCGGTTTGAAGTTGGAGTAAGCACATACATTTTGCAATCATGTGTAGGAACACTAGCTGAAATTTGTCCTTTGACTGATTTCACCCCTCTATGCTGTCAATACATATGTTAAAAATGAACAGATAATTAGCACTGAGTATATAAATTAAACTGTAAACAGAACTTGCAATCAAATTCGTTCAAGCATGAGGATTTGAAGAAGGTTTATCACACTACAAAAATCTATAAACATGATAAGATTATTGATAATACTGCATTAGTTATTTTATTAATTTCTAATAAGTAATAACGTAGCGTGTATCCCGGCCGGATTTAGTAAGTTAAAAATCTCTTTAGTCCTTGATTATACGAAGTATAAAAAAGAACAAATTTCACTTTTGATTCTGCAAGTATCACATCAATTCCACAATTGATTCACGTCTTTGAGCACTTTTGGTATATCACTATTGTTTTTCGCCCATATTACCATACATGATCCTTCAATCGATATTTTCGATGGTTAAAATCGCCGGAGAGGCATCAGAAATTTGTTTGGAAGGACAAAGAAGGATCAAGAAACATTAGCCAAGTAATAAAGGATTGACAAAGTAAATAACATGGAGTTAAATGCGAAATTGACATAAACGCATAGGACTAAAATATAAAGAGTTAAATTCAGGGTTTAACTAATATGTATAAAAAAGTTAAATTGAGTGGTTAAAATATTTAATCTGCCCTTTTTTTTTTATAAAAAGATAATTTGTTAAACTAGGGTAAGAAATTCACATACTTTGTTTGCATTTGTAAACAAATATTAGGAGAAAATGTGAAGGATGGTACCGCCCAGAGGTCACGTGCATGGACAATGTTGGATGTGTTGAGGCCAATATCCGACCAGTAAGCGGTGATGGTTGCCTCTGTTGATCCTCTATTCCACAGCACCACAACCACTCTGTTCCCACTCAATGGCCCTGCCCAAACCTGCACTTCCGGCGGCGGACGTAGAAATTCCCGGCGACATTATAAAAATATTCATATAAATATACTTCGCGTACATATATGTATATATTAAAATTTTGAGGTAAATATACTTAAGAGAAAAAATTGGGAGGCTGATCCTTTTTATTCTCCATCCTCCTTTTTAGCTACTTTAATGTTTGTGCTTTGCTTTTAATTTTTTTTATTCTCCTTTCTTTTATTGTTTTTTTATTGTTTGTTCTCCTATCTGTTTTTGTTTTTTTTAGTAATCTTCTACTTTAATGTTATACTCTATTATTATGAAAATGTATAATACTACCTCCGTCCCAAAAAGGTTTGCCAAATTGACTTTTCTTGGTGAATGATGACAAACTTTGAGCAATGATTTTAGTTATTATAATTGTATATAATTTATAAATTTTATACTTTTATGAAAATATTTTCAATAAGGAATATTTTGATATAATTTTCATATTCTAAATAATTTCGTATTAAAATATATCATTAGTCAAAGTTGATTGTCATTGACCAAGAAAGGTCAATTTGGCAAACCTTTTCGAGACGGAGGGAGTATAAAATATTATAAAATCTATATTTTATTTTAAACTCAAATGAGTAAAACGATTAAATAGAATGAACATACACAAATGAGCTTTTGGATTTTTGAAAACTCATTTTGTAAGTTATGTATGTCCATTTAGTACCCCTGTTATGCTCATTTTAAAAAGTTATATCAATGCATATTTCAAAAGTTTCATATTACATTAGATTCACATAGATGCTGATTATAGACACGAGATCACAAATCATGATACTCAACCGCACGATTCTAATACTCAATAACGAAAGTTTGATGCTCACCGAAAATGTCTTGATGCTCAACGAACAAATTAAAACTTACAATTTTCATATCAATGCTCATTATGTAAGTTACATATGCTCATTTATATAGGTCTCATGCTCATTAAAAATTCATTAATGCTCATTTAACAGAAATCGTGAATTCCATCGATCTCAATCGATGAAGTTTGACACTCAATGAAAATGTTGTGATGTTTAACTAACAAACCTTACGACTTTCATATCAATGCGCATTTTGCAAGTTACGTATGTCCATTTGGTACTGATCTTGTGCTCATTTTGTAAATGTCATATCAATGCATTGTTTAAAGTACTATTCTACATTAGATTCTCATATTGAAATTCATAGGTTCAGAGTTGATTATAAATATAATGTAATAAATTTTTATAAAAGAAAAAATAACAAAAACAAAATGAATTAGAAGTTATGAAGGAGAGATCACGATTCTAAATATTAGGCTCCTAATACTCAACATAATAGGTCTGGTGCTCATTAAAAGTTCATTAATACTCATTCACCAGAAATCGTGATTTTCATGTTAATAGCGGAGGTTTGATGCTCAATTAAAATGTCATGATGTTCAACTAACAAACCTTACGATTTTCATATCAATGTGCACTTTGTAAGTTATGTATGCTCATTTGGTAGTGATGTTGTGCTCATTTTTGAATTGTTGTATCAATGCATGTTTCAAAAGTATCAAATTACATTAGACTCGTATATTAAAATTAATAGGAGTGTATTATAGATATAATTTAATAAGTTTTTATAAAAGAAAAAATAAGAAAAAGTTTTTAGTAGATATGAAGTAGAGATCGTGATACTCATTGTTAGTCTCTTAAATACTCAATAAAATAGGTCTGATGCTCATTAAAAGTACAATATTGCTCATTTAGAGGAAGCCGTGATTTTTCGCTTAAATTACAAAAATGTCACCGAATTTTTTTTGGCCTGTATTAGCGGTTGAACCGTCTTTCTTACTTGGGCCGGGTGTACGTACACCCGGATGCACTATATACGAGCTGTGCGGTGGCGGCCCCCATTTGCTTCCTTATATTCTTTTATTAGTTTCATGTTTTTCCTTATATTCCTAATATGTCAAACATGAATTTTATTTTAAAATGGAGCTTTAAGTATGTTTTCTGCCTCTGCAACAGTGCATTTTGTTTTACATCCTTACATATTTTTTTGCAATTTATATTATTTACCATTTTGTCTTTCACTCATCGTAATATCATCTTAACCCTATTTGATAATGAAACGATCTGACTAATAAGTTTTTTCTCGTGTTATTCAAAAAGTAAGTCATTTTATAAGTATTTTAGAAGATTGTTAAAACATACTCCGTACTACGTATTTTAAAAATGTAAATGATTAGTTTTACATTGTTTTAGTTCTCATATTAGCCTAAAAAGTCATAATAGGATAAAATTAAAAGTTTTTAGTAAATTTATGCAAATTACATTTTTTATAAAAGTTTCTAAGACAATATAATTCTTACTACATAGACAAGAAAAACAAAAATACATTTATACAGACATAAAAATATACATGGATTAAAAACTTATTTAAGACTATTGGAAAAAATGTGGAGTGGGGGTCCAGTTCTCCACTAGTTTTGATAAGTTTAAATTGTGAGTTAATCAAGTACTCGGTTTGAATAAAGCCAAGTAGCTGAATATAATTAATGAGTCCAGACCCCACGACCCACATACTCAGAAGAATAAGAGGCACAACTGTGATCTAGAGGGTCCTCGGTCGGTCAGATGACCCTTCATCGACCATGAAGATGTCAACTCAGAACGTGATCCAGAAGTCAGGAGAACCGGGTGTCCCCGCCGGCCAGGTCTCCGTCGGTCGTGTCTCCATCGGCCAGACATTCGTCGGCCACAGAGAGCTCACAGAACCGGATTTCATACTTAGACAATTTACATACTTTGTATTCGGCACAATAGAGACCCCATTGTAATCGGGCCTCCCAAACCCAAGACTTAGGAGCTCAGCCCACATTTTCTCTATAAATACTTCCCTTGGGGGTTTGAGGGAGTAGTTGTACGGATTGACAAATCATTTATTACAGCATTCATTGCACTTCTCTCTCTAACTCTCACTTCTCTGGAGGTTATATCTATCAAATACTTCGTATATACCACCAAATCTATTACGGAGTACAATGGAGTTTATTTATAGAAAGAAAGATTTTACCTCCAAATCTCCGTCTTGTTTAACTTTTGTCCCTTGATGACCGAGTCCATCTGAGTTCGTTCCACAATATTTTCCAGTTAGTAATTACTTACAACTAGCTAGTTCTACTATATATAAGATTAGAGCATCTCCAATGGTTATTTCAAGAGACCTGCTTGCAATTTTTAAAAGTATTGAAGCTAGTAGCCTACCATTGGAGTGCATCTTTCCTTCTACCTTGGGCAAGCAAATTAGCTAATACAAACTACTTGCAAATTACCAATAAATTTAATCTATTGGGTAATGGATATATACTAAGTTAATCATTAATTAAAAACCCAACGGTAAAGTAAAGCACTACAATACACCAACAAAGTTTCAAAAGTGGTTTTATATTTCGAATTGATCTTTTTTTAATTAAGTATATTATCTTATTTAATTGTTTAATTTAGTATATTTTGATGTATACTAATTATTTAATATTTTGCTTTGTAAATTCTAAGAAATGCTTAATTTTATTAAAAAATATTTAGAGTTGATACTATTTCCGTCCCAAAAAGGTTTACAATATTGTCTATTCTTGGTCAATGGTGTCACACTTTGGACAATCATTTTAATTAGAGATATTACCCAAAATAGGACTAAAAAAGTTTGAAAAATCCAAAATAAGACTGCAATGTTTTTATTCCCAAAATAGGACTAATTACTGCCATGTTTTGGCAGTATCAGACTTCAAACATGACAGTATTTTCTAAACGTGTCAGTAATTAGTCATATTTTGGGAATAAAAAACATGACAGTCCTATTTTGGATTTTTCAAACTGTTTTAGTCATATTTCGGGAACTTTCCCTTTTAATTATTATATGGGAGATTTCCCAAAATAGGAGTAAATGAAGTTTGAAATTCCAAAATAGGACTATTTTGTTTTTATTCCCGAAATGGGACTAACATGACAGTATTTACTGTCATCTTGTAGCCGTGACTGCCAAATAATTGGAGTACAGTGCATTTAACATGACAATATTTATTATAATTAATGACAATATTTTTCAATCATGACAGTATTTTTCCTACATGACAGTAATAACTCCTATTTCAGGAAGAAAAACATATTAATCCTATTTTTGGAATTTCAGTGTCATTTGCTTCTATTTTGGGTAATTTCCCTTATTATATTTGTATATAGATTAAAAGATTATTAACCATGGATGCCCTAGACTGAAAATTAATTATAGCATGCTTTCCGATCCAAGCAAGCCCATAGGATATTTTATTCTTAACGCTTGTACCAGAAGTCTTTCAATTTGGATATACTCCTTCCATCCCAATTTAAAAGTGCCACTTCTTTTTACATATAATTTCAGAAAATGGCATTGTTTGAACATCGTTTTGCATTGGTTTGCAATGTTTTGTACTGTTTGGACATTGTTTGACATTGTTTGAACACTATTTTGCACTGTTTGAATACTTTTTATTTTGGTACGGAGGGAGTATAGTATATTTGGAAATGTGGGTATATATTATTTTCATGCATACCTTGATTAACATCAATCACCTCTTTATTGCTAAGGATTTCGTAGGAGGAGTTGTCCAAGGATCGGATATCGCAACCAATCACCAAAGGAGCCTGCAAATTAATCAATTAACAAATAATTTGGCACTTGTTGATAAAAGTTTGACCTGATTTAGTTTTGTTATCAAATCATGAAATGGTGAGCTAGGTCTATAATATAATGCTTGTTTAGGAATATTTCATGGAACAAATCTTAGATTTTTGGTATTACTAGAAATGATCAAAGTATTACCTTACATGAGCTTCACAGAAAAGTTTTCTAGATTTTGTAACGTGCATATTCTAGGATTATGTAAAAAGAGAGTAAAATTTACTCATTAATTAGTCTCATAATTTATGCATTAGATAATTAAATAATTATAATTAGGGATATATCATGTTGCTAATGAGGATGGGTACTTACTTTGGCCAGTGCCCAAATGCTGAAATGAGAGCGGTATTCAGAGTAAGTCATGCCGCCGTTTCCAACTTCCAAAATATCAGGATCTGTAGGTAAACAAAAAACTATTCATGTCAAGAGCTCGGTTTGGTTTGGATGGTTACATTTTTCTTAGAATGATACATCTATTTAAGAATGGATAAATTGGCTATGTTTGGTTCAAAAATATGGGACTGACACGAAATTTGGCACGAATTTATCGATTTTTTGTGTCAAATAGCTCATGGCAAAGTGCTTTTGGCACGACTTTTGAGATATCCCTGCCAAAATCCCTGTCAATCCCATTTTTTTGTAGTGATTATTAGTATTTGAGTCAAAACGCCAAAAGTTTTTAAACCTGAAACGCTAAAAATTAAAATGCAGCGTGTTAGATTGGCTTTTCTTCCAATCCGTCAAGAACTAAACACAGCCAGTATATATTTAAGTTGTATCAATATGACAATATGTATGATTCATATATCAATACACGGAGTATAATTAAGAGTCCGTTTCGTAACCCTTTTTCAGGCTTATCAACCAACTTCTTCACCAAACACGTAACTTTTGATTTCGCGCGCTGAATTGTGTAATAAGCAGACAAAGTAAGGTTCAAGTTACTTTTCTGGCTGTATTGGCTGAAGTTACTGTAGAAGATCATTTTAGCTATTTTTCATATAATTTTCTATTTTATTTATCAATACCAAATATTTTATATTTAATTTTTTAAAGAATCAGCAGAATAAGCCAATACTGCCACTTCAGCCAGAATTTCATAAATTTCAGCAGAATCAGCCAATTCAACCAATTTTAGTGTTACCAAACGGGCTCTAAATCTTTTCCTCATCCTCCTAATATGATTAAATAAAATAGTATTAGTGGCATTTAAAATAATTTCTAAACCGGAACTAATGTTACGTTTATTATAGTACTTATCATTTGTAAGTAACATATTTGGTGAATGACATATATATTAAGGGAAAAATAATTAAAATACCCCAAACTTGCATATGTAAATTAAATATCTCAAACTTTATATAAAAAGTTATTTTAGCACCATGGTCATCTATTATTTCTTTCAAAAATATTAATTTTTGGTGTTAATTTCATAATCTAAAATATTTTAGCATTCATGAAGATACGATTAACATTCTAAACCTCCATTGTAAAATAAATATAATAATACCCCCCACTCTATATAATTCCAACAAATGTAATTTGCTATTTTAAATTATGCAATTAACAATATAATTTTTTTTCAAAGAAATAATATATGATCATGGTGCTAAAACAACTTTTTATATAAAGTTTGTGGTATTTAAATTACATATGAAAGTTTGGAGTATTTATCTCACACTCCTTCAAAATTTGGGGTATTTTAATTATTTTCCCATACATTAAAACTTAAATACATTTTTAATTCCTGTAAATGTGGTACACTTTGTTTTGGGTCCCTGTTTTTTTTTTGTTTTGCACTGTAATATGCACTATTTTGTTTTCAGTCCTTCTCTAATTCCAAAACCACTCTACTTAGAAAAAAGTTATGCATAAATCTAATAGAATTATCTAAATTTGTCCTTTGATAACTTTTTTGAGGCTAATATGAAAGTTAAAATAATGTAAAACTGAGTATTCACATTTTAAAAATATGTATTAAAAGCCTTCGGAAAAATAAAATCAAATACTTTTTGAATAACAATTAGAGAAAACCTATTAGTTGGGGTTATTTTGAGGTCAAGCGGGGGTTGTTATCATCATTGATGGACTAAGAAGAAAACTAACATAAATCGCAGGGACAAAAAACAAAAAAGAATATTGCAGGGATGTTAAATAAAATGTACTATATTTGAAGGGAAAAGATAGAGATATTCTCAATATTTGGCAGTTTTGAGCATTGGTTTAACCTTAACTCAGGTAAAAGATGGAGATATACTCAGAGCCCGTTTGGTAACACTGAAATTGGCTGAATTGGCTGATTCTGCTGAAATTTATGAAGTTCTGGCTGTATTGGCTGATTCTGCTGATTTATGAAAAAATTATATTTAAAATACTTGTTATTAATAAATAAAATAAAAAATGGGAAAAATAATTAAAATATCCCAAACTTTGAAGGGGTGTGAGATGAACACCCCAAACATGCATATGTAATTTAATACCCCAAACTTTGTATAAAAAGTTATTTTAGAATCATAATCAAGTATTCTTTTATTCAAAAATGTAAATTTATTATGTTAAATGCATAATTTAAAATATTTTAGAAATCATAAAGACACAATCAACATTCTAAACTTTCATTGCGAAATAAATAATGTTACCGCTAATCTATATAATTGCAACATTTTTAATTTGTTATTTTAAATAATGCAATTAACTCCATAAATTTACATTTTTGAAAGAAATAATACATGACGATGGTGCAAATTAAAAGTAATTTTTTATATAAATTTTAGGGTATTTAAATTACATATGCAAGTTTGGGGTGTTTACTTCACACCCCTTCAAAGTTTGAGATATTTTTATTATTTTTATCAATAAAAAATTATATGAAAAAGTTACGTTTTGTGAAAAACTGGCTTATAAGTCTGATAAGCCGAAAAATGGGGTTACCAAACAGGCTCTCAATGTTTGGCAGTTTTGAGGTCAAGCTAATAAATAGCCAATTTGAATAGCTTTTGTGCTGACATTTTGGTTTTATGTTTCACAAGTCTAATTTACTAGTTTCCCTATTTTATTGACTCCTTTATAATTATTGGAAAATAAAGTAACTATGTCAGTAATAATAATAATAAATTTCATATTGTTAATTATTACCATTCCATCCACCCGGGTATGCATAAGATGCCCAATGGTCATTTTGATCAGCATTTGAAGTCATACTGGAAAAACAAAATGTAGATACATCAGACGGTGTGATATATACTAATGCGCTTAAAGGGTTTGTGGTTCGGTCAGCGGTAAGAGTTGGTTCTAGGAGTGGGTACGGTTGGTTAACCAAAATTTATGGTTAACCGAAATATCGATTAATATGTTTATGATATCACTAACCGTACCATAATGACGGTTAAACGGGTAACAATTAACCATCTCATAGGTTAACCGTTAATCGGTTAACCAAAAAACCGTATATACAAAGTATATGAATAAACTACTAACTAGGTTCGTTTTAATATTGCCGTATGAATAACGCCCTATACTAAATTACGTTACAGACGTAGTAAATTACGTATATGCAGTATTGTGGTTTTCAGAATAACTTTTTTACCAACCGGAAGTTTACTACAATATACTTCGTATAATACTACATACGGAGTACGTATTACGAAGAATTTATACGGAGTACGTAATATGCTTCAACTGTGATTCAATATGTACTCGTACTGTCTCGTAGTGTATAACTAAAAAAGTTAGATTTGAAACATATGTTTCAGAAAGTTGAGAAAATTTCTTGTAAGATGCAATACCATATTCTTTGAATCTAAAATGAAATTTTAAATATAAAATCCGAAAATAAAATTAAGTATTAAATCTAAGATGCAATACCATATATATACTCTGTAAATTTGTAAATAAATATGGACAAGGAGTTAATATTCAATATAATACAGGGAGTTTTATGAACTCACATTGGATAAATAAGCAAAATGTATGTATGAATTTGGGAGCAATATATTAACTTTGGATTAGCGGTTAACCGACGGTATTTAATTTCAAAACCGTAACCGTATAGTAAAACGTTTTTCTACCGATTGGTTAACCGTCCCGCAAGATTTTAAAAACACGGTATGGTTAATCAAAACAAACACCGGTTTTTCGGTTATTTACCGCGATTAATCGGTTACGGTTTTTTTCGCCCACCCCTAGTTCTTATTTACAATGAAAATGTATAGTTTATTGATATGCACATTTATGGTTAAAATAATGTATAGTTCAAATTGGCAGAATAAATTTAACTTATTTACCAAAACTGGAGTGATCATAACACTCACAACTTTGTGAAATAGTTATATGTGATCATTATATATATATATATATATATATATATTCATGAAAAAATTCCCCCCCAAGAGGCCAAGAAGTAATTAAGTAAATTTCATATTGGCCCCCAAACACCATCTTTCCGGTTCCTCCACTGTATGTGTTGTAAACTATATTTCAAATATTGCAAATTTTAGTCTCACAAACTATATTAATGAACGCAATAAATACTTCAAATGAG